AAATAATAAGTATTTTAGATTTTATGCAAGTACATATTGGTGGTGACTAAGAATTACCCAATACATTTTAAAAAGAACAAAAAAAAAAACATAGCTATGTAGTTTATGGATTCCTTAATTAATATGGTGTATTCTAATTATTCTTTCAGGAAGGACAAGAAAGGGAAGAAATTGTCATAAAAAATTGTTAGTGTTCAGGATTTGCACGCACTTAGAGTGTGTACTCTATCGACCACTTTTGTTACTGTTGAATTGAAGTGACGTTCATCGAGTTTTAATATGATTGAATAAAATAGTGCAATTTGGTTGGCTTAGAGGAGAGGTATTTATACTTAATAGTGGTATTKCACATTGCACAATTTTGTTCAACCATTTCATAAACAAATATAGAATTTTTGTACATAGAATTTTGGATAAATACCACTTGTGATATTTCAAAATTGTCACAAATTTTGCTTATCTTGAGAATTTTTGTTTGACAATTTGAAATATCATGCGTGGTATCTATGTATCCCAAATACCACTACAAAACATGCTATTGCCTGTACAAATATTCATATTTTTTTCTGAGGATAAATTAAAGACACAATTTCTATCAAATAATATTTTTCACAATTTGTATGATGTATTTTATATTTAGGTAATCTTATTTAGTCTTTTTACTAAAATACATTTTTACAAATAGAAGCTATTTCATGTAACAATAGTATATTGATTATTTATCTATAGTTTGYYTTGAATTTGTAATTGCATTTTAAATAAATGTTTACATGAATTCCCAAGTCCAAATATCTCTATTTAAGGACAAAATGTCTCATTCAAGAGTATACGAGTCCCGAAAATACTTGAATACGGAATTTTSGRAAGTTTTCATACTGAACACTCTAGAATTCGTCTCGTGATCRATAATATGCGTAACGCATACCACACGTGCACGAATTTTCATGAGTATTCAAGCGTGTTCGTGTTGTCATTTTGCGAACTAATCTGAAATTTAGTCCAGAAAACGTTGCGTATTAGAGATTTTACAATCGCAAACTTCGCGTTTCCAGAAATATTCAACCGTATTCAATAATAATATTTGTTATCACCCGGCAATATTCGGGGATATACGACTTGAAAACGGAAAAACAGTATGTATTCGAGTCGAGTGATCCCCGGCTGACGTCGCGTCAGTCGGACTTGAATACCTTTGAAAATCATCGAAAACTTGAAGTATTCGGGTTCATATTCGAGCGAATTCGATTCGAAAATTCGCCTTTTTGCACAGTGTTAGCCATAAGTCCACAAGTAATAGTTAAAATTCATATTCAAAACATATCAAAAGACGTTCATTTTTATGATGAGATTCCTCTGCCCCATCTTCCATCAATTTTTGATTTGTGCGTCTGTCTCGACACATTCGGCCATTTTGGTTGCGCGTTCCTGATTTGAT